TGTGTGCCATCCCTGTGTGATAATAATCAGTACTGTGTGTGCTATCCCTGTGTGATAATAACCAGTACTGTGTGTGCCATCCCTGTGTGATAATAACCAGTACTGTGTGTGCCATCCCTGTGTGATAATAACCAGTACTGTGTGTGCTATCCCGGTGTGATAATAACCAGTACTGTGTGTGCCATCCCTGTGTGATAATAACCAGTACTGTGTGTGCCATCCCTGTGTGATAATAACCAGTACTGTGTGTGCCATCCCTGTGTGATAATAACCAGTACTGTGTGTGCCATCCCTGTGTGATAATAACCAGTACTGTGTGTGCCATCCCTGTGTGATAATAACCAGTACTGTGTGTGCTATCCCTGTGTGATAATAACCAGTACTGTGTGTGCTATCCCTGTGTGATAATAACCAGTACTGTGTGTGCCATCCCTGTGTGATAATAACCAGTACTGTGTGTGCCATCCCTGTGTGATAATAACCAGTACTGTGTGTGCCATCCCTGTGTGATAATAACCAGTACTGTGTGTGCCATCCCTGTGTGATAATAACCAGTACTGTGTGTGCCATCCCTGTGTGATAATAACCAGTACTGTGTGTGCCATCCCTGTGTGATAATAACCAGTACTGTGTGTGCCATCCCTGTGTGATAATAACCAGTACTGTGTGTGCCATCCCTGTGTGATAATAACCAGTACTGTGTGTGCCATCCCTGTGTGATAATAACCAGTACTGTGTGTGCTATCCCTGTGTGATAATAACCAGTACTGTGTGTGCCATCCCTGTGTGATAATAACCAGTACTGTGTGTGCCATCCCTGTGTGATAATAACCAGTACTGTGTGTGCCATCCCTGTGTGATAATAACCAGTACTGTGTGTGCCATCCCTGTGTGATAATAACCAGTACTGTGTGTGCCATCCCTGTCTGACAATAACCAGTACTGTGCTTCGGTAAGACACCATTAATCTCGGAAGACAAGTCACCGTGTGGTTCTATTTCTTTCCCGTGGGCGAAATTGCTCGTTTTACTTGATGCACCTTTAAAAGAAAACACATGCAGTTGTCATGAAACATATTCGGCTTGTTTATTTCTTTTTTCAATAGGAAAAGGTTTTTTGTTTCATAAACTGATTGTTCTGCATTAAAAAAAACAAAACAAAAAAAACAACAAATACTAAACCAAGCGTCAGATTATCATAGACGTTCCACGTTCTGAATTATTATGTTGGTTCCATGGTGACTGCACACACAGGTTTGCCCAATAAATGTGATCTAAATGTGGCCAATGGAGAGGATCGAAGTAAAATGTTTACATGTAAAGCTAGAGTTACGGGAGGTGGACAATGAGATGGACAAACATAGTGCTCATCGGTAGAATTGAGCGGACACCTGGATGTTCGGGTTCACTAGGTTCGGCCGAATTTCGGCAAAAAGTTCGAGTTCAGGACTCGAACTTGACCTGAACTTGACCCCGAACCTGAACCTGAATTGAAGTCAGGGGGGACCCGAACTTTTGGGCACTAAAATGGCTCTAAAAAAGTCCTGGAAAGGGCTAGAGGGCTGCAAAGGGAAGTAAAATGTATTACCTAAGTACTAATTTACTTACCCAGTGGAAGAAGAAGAATGCTACACTGTTTACAATTTTAAATAAAAAGTATACAAACATAGCCAGGATTCAGCTGTAAGCATCTGCAACACTTACAACAATCAAGTAACACACATTCATATAAAATGTAAGTTACTTAGCCAGTCATGTAATGACAGCATCAATAAGTAGATAACTCCCTAATTCCCACGGTATCAGGGAGCTATCTACTAAAAGGCGGAAAGACCTGAATTGGTTTTTCAGCCAAATTTACTAATACTAAGTAAAGATTATTTAGTATTAGTAAATTATGCCCCTACTTGCTATACCGTGAGTAGGGGCATGTCTATTAAACAGTGAGCAGCCTATGGCGGGGGTGGGGGTTCTAAAGTAAAATAGGGGCGGGGGACCTATTGTCCTCTTCCCGGCCCCCACCCATGAGCTGTGGGTGGGGGCCCTAAATTCGAATAAGGGGGGGACCCATTGTCCTCCTCCCCGGCCCTCACCCCAGAGCAGCGGGTGGGGGCCCTAAAGTAAAATAATGGGGGGAACCTATTGTCCTCCCCTCCGGCCCCCACCCCTGAGCGGCGGGTGGGGGCCCTAAATTAGAATAAGGGGGGACCTAATGTCCTCCCCCCTGGCCCCCACCCCTGAGCAGTGGGTGGGGGCCCTAAATAGAAATTGGGGGGGACCTAATGTCCTCTCCCCTGGCCCCCACTCCTGAGCGGTGGGTTGGGGCACTAAATTAGAATAAGGGGGGGGCTAATGTCCTCCCCCTGGCCCCTATCCCTGAGCGATGGGTGGGGGCCCTAAATTAGAATAAGGGGGGAACCTAATGTCCTCCCCCTGGCCCCCACCCCTGAGCGGTGGGTGGGAGCCCTAAATAGCAATTAGGGGGAGGACCTAATGTCCTCCTCCCTTGCCCCCGCCCCTGAGAAGTCGGTCGGGCCCTAAATAAAAATTGGGGGATGACCTAATGTCCTCCCCCTGGACCCCACCCCTGAGCGGTGGGTGGGGGCCCTAAATAGCAATTAGGGGGGCCCTAATGTCCTCCCTCTTGGCCCCCACCCCTGAGCAGTGAGTGGGGGCCCTAAATACCAATAAGGGGGACCTATTGTCCTCCCCCTTGGCCCCCACCACTGAGTGGCGGAGGGGGCCCTAAATAAAATATTCGTAATGTTTGGTACGAACTTTACAGTTTGGGTTCACTCAACTCTACTCACTGGCTGTTAAATTGATTACGTATGGATTGTGAAGGACAAGACGTATTGATAAATGCCCAGAACATTTGTATATTACTTGTGCTTCAAATATGTGGTAACATGCTTCCCTCGTCTTTTCTCGGTTTTGCCTGTTGTATTCGCTGCAGGAGCCACTGGGAGGGAAAGCTACACTTGGATTTAATTTATATTTATTTTGCATTTTCTTATTGGGACCATGGTAACCCTTACCTCTGTATATTTAAAGATTGCTATTACTAATATTATAATAAGATCCCCGGAGTTTGTGAATATAAAGGCACAGATAGATTGTGATGTATGAAGACCCAGACCAGGCGTTCCTCACCCTGTCAATCAGTATAGAGAACATAGAGAAACAATGTATCTCTCTCCATTCCTTATTTGCACAGTGTGCCTTGGCTGTGCCAGGAGAGAAATAGACTGTGCTGTCACTTCCTCATGGAAAAGGTTAGCTCATGTTAACATCACGATCCAGCTCAGCCGTGATACAGTCAGGTTGTAACTGCAGCTAGTACCCAGTTTACTGCTATAAAGTCTTGAATTACTGTACAGATATCTGAGCTATGATATTACATGGTTAGTAAGAGTTCCTCCATTTAAAATATATAAATAATTGAGAATACAATACAAAAAATAGGGATTGTCTTGCCACTGTATTGGAGAAGGAGATATCGAAACATTGTTCAATTTCTCATTCTCTCAGTATGCTCTCTGTATGCTGACTGACTGGTTCAGGGATTATAACAATGATTGACAGGGATTATAGCAATGACTGACAGGGAGTATAACAATGATTGACAGGGAGTATAACAATGATTGACACGGATTCTAACAATGACTGACACGGATTCTAACAATGTCTGACAAGGATTATAACAACGATTGACAGGGATTATAGCAATGATTGACAGGGAGTATAACAATGACTGACAGGGATTATAGCAATGATTGACAGGGATTATAACAACGATTGACAGGGATTATAGCAATGACTGACAGGGATTATAGCAATGACTGACAGGGATTATAGCAATGATTGACAGGCATTATAACAATGACTGACAAGGATTATAACAATGACTGACACAGATTCTAACAATGTCTGACAAGGATTATAACAACGATTGACAGGGATTATAGCAATGACTGACAAGGATTATAACAATGACTGACAAGGATTCGAACAATGATTGTCAGAGATTATAATAATGACTAACAGGGAGTATAACAATGATTGACAGGGATTAGAACAATGACTGACAGGGATTCTAACAATCACTGACACGAATTCTAACAATGACTGACACGGATTATAACAATGTCTGACAAGGATTATAACAACGATTGACAGGGATTATGGCAATGACTGACAGGGATTATAACAATGACTGACAAGGATTATAACAATGATTGACAGGGAGTATAACAATGATTGACAGGGATTATAGCAATGATTGACAAGGAGTATAACAATGATTGACAGGGAGCTAAGTATATATGAGTCATGTATATTGTTATGTAATTGTGTGATAGCTGTATGGTGTGTGAGTTGTGTTATGTGTATGTGTCTATTAGTTGTATTGTGTTTGTGTAATATGATTTGCTTATGGGTTGTGTCTGAGTTATGTAGCGTCTCTGAGTTGTATTATGTTAATGAGTTGCCTAGTATCTTTAAATTATACAGTGTTTATGTATTGTATGTTGCCAATGAGTTGTGTTGTATTTTATTCATGGATTGAGTAGTGTCTATAAGTTAGAAGAAACCTTGGGTGTGGCTGGATATTTATCTTTTCTTTCATTTAATGTCTCCAGGGGGTGCGTTATACTTGTTGTTTAGTGTTGGTAATACGTACAGGTTAGTCGGAGCCATATCACTATGGCAACTAGCAGGACAATGATCCCGAACATCAGGTAGTTCTGGAACCCTGGGGGAAAAGTGACATTAAAAATGGGTCAACATTCTATACAAATGGGTAAAATGGTGATTATTACCGAGGAGTCAATGGAAATTAGTGGATGACGGTTTTCATGTTTAACCATTTCAGGTACTTAAAAAGGAGAACATGGGAGTCTTGTGAATTAGTATTAACGCAGTAATTTATAAAGCGCATTGCGTTGTACAATAGAAAAGGTAAATCCGACAAGGAGAGAAGGGGATGGGGGGCTGCTCAGGGAGCTGACATCAACGAGATGAGGGGGCTACACAATGAGTAAAGAGTAAGCCATGTCGGAGCGCTGAGAGTGCTGGGGAATGCTGGGAATTCTGGGGAATGCTGGGAGCGCTGGGAATGATGAGAGTGCTGGGAACGATGAGAGTGCTGGGAGCGCTGAGAGTGCTGGGAACAATAAGAGTGTTGGGAGCGCAGAGAGTGCTGAAATCGCTGGGAGAGCTGCGAGTGCTGAGGAACACTGAGAGTGCTGAGAATGCTGCGAGTGCTTTGAGCGCCGAGAGTGATGTGAGTGCTGGGGAACGCTGAGAATGCTGGGGAACGCTGAGAGTGCTGGGGAACGCTGGGAGTGCTGGGGAATGCTGGGAGTGCTGAGAATGCTGGGAGCGCTGAGAATGGTGAGTGCTGGGAGCGCTGTCTGTAGCAGACTGTATAATAATAAATCAGGCACAGCTGTGGAGTAAGAATGGGATGATAGCAGCCATTGTCATGACAAGCAGCGTAAGGTGTGGGCTGTAACGTGGGATATATTACTCTGTGCGGGTTATTCACTAAACATGTGGGACCTGAAATCCCTTAACCGGGGTAAATGAAAAGTAGGTTTTCCTGAAAGGTAGGTTCTTCTGTAACAATGAGATGGGGAATAGAAGAAGACACTGTTTCTCATGGAACATGAGACTCTATAACGGTACCTGGCAGAGGGAAGGGTCACAATGTATTATTATTATTATTGTTATTATTTATACTTATATAACTCAATACTCAGTGATTATCCATAAGGTGACAGACGCGGTGGATAGTTGGAAGACGCAGTGGATAGTTGGCAGACGCGGTGGATGGGTGGCAGACAGGTTGATGGGCTCTCCTTCAACTCCATGCTCAACCTGAGCCCCTTCACTGGCTCGATGGAGCTTTGTGGTCTGCACATCTGTGGTGGCCACCCCGAGAGAAGAGAGCTTTCCTCCGCCAGAGATGTCCTTTCCTCCTAGTATGAGTAATGCTGTAGTATTCCCAAGCAGTAATCCAAGCGGTAACAAAGCAGGTATAGCTGTTCCCTACAATCACGAGATGAGGCTCTGTGTTGAGGGTGAAGTTTAACTGATTTATTGGCAGCCACAACTGGCTTTATATGCAAGTCCCCATACAAGGGATTTCTCATTACATATTCCAGGGGCATTCCCCACTGGAACTGAGAGGGGCCTGTGACAAAGTACACATTGTAATTACATTAACTCTCAGGTCCAGGACAAATATAACAAAAACACCCCAAAATATACACTTAGCTACCCCTCAAGTCCTTTATCCCCGGATAGCCTGGATCTGAGCTCCCAACATATCCGAAAAGTGCTCAGATCTCACGATTGCAGCCAAAACGCCACTGGAGTATAGTTTAGACCGACCCCACACGAGACGCCTGTCCAAAAGAGTTCCATGATTTCAGGTGGAAAGTTCGGACTCTTTCGGGAGTACAAAACAGAATAAAATAATGAAGATAATTGTTCATGCGTACATTGGTCGTGCGCCCTTCATTTGGGAGTTTGCTCCCACCGAACACTGCTCAAGTGTGCCTGTTGAGTAGTGAATGAAACCGAACACCTGTGGGGGTGGAAGTCTCAGCAGTGTTTGTGCTGTCGAGTGCCTAATAAAAGTTCCATACACTCGATGACCAAACACTGCTGTAGGCATTCGCGAGAACAAGATGGCCACCACCTCATGTACGAAC